AAATCGTTTTATATACTTTTGCTTTTCGGTTGTCCTGAAATAATCTCTGTGACAAACACGATGCTAACGTTCTTGATTCATTTAGCTTCTTCGCAGACTCAACAGAAGCCGATGCATCGTTAATTGAAAATCTTTAACATCGCTGCCATCAGCAGAAAACAGTTTCTCCGTTGTGGAAATAGAAAAACTAAAAGATGCGCTAGAGTTTTCAGGGTCGACAGATGAAACGCTCCCATATATGTGCAGCCGGAACAATTTAATAGTTGACTTTACTACCTACCATCGAACAGTCGCCAAGAAAGTACCGGAAATATATAATCGTAATGCCTTTTCAACTGAAAGAGCAGTATGATTATATACCAATGATAACAATAAAGATGAATAATTGACTGAGCACGGTAGAATAAATATGTAGTAATCATTTAGATAATTTCAGTCTTCTTCCATACCTGATGCTGACTTAAAAAAATAGTTCAGATCCACTGGTTTTCGTATGAAAAGGAAAGTTATTAAACCTTGAAATGTTGACTTTTATTATGCTTTCATGATTAGGTCATTCTGGCGCCCTTCTTTTCATGAATTTCATACCTTGGCACTGATATCCATCGCCATGTCATCCTCAAGCAGCGCCTTATGTCAAAGGCAGAGTTGACAGTGAATATGTGTGGCAAGTATAGTGTGAATTGTCCTATTTTCTTTCCACAGAGTGCTGCGCATTTATGAATCTCAGGAGGAAAGAAAACGAGTGAACCGCACACAATTCGAACCCAGAACTTGTCTCTTTTGAATCTGACTGAGCATCTTCGGTCGTCGAGTAGAAACTCCGTGCCCGGTGTGGTAAAAAATGGCAATACTTTTTTCTTATATTTAAATTCATCCCTTTCGTATCACTATAAAACGATAGAACAACCAAAGAGAGGCACAATTGAGAAACTACCTTGTCATTCTCAACCTCTTAGCGTAAAAATTAAAACTTACTCATTAAATCATTTAAATTCCTTCATAGTAATAAGGTCAAGCATACACAAATTACACTCAAATGAAACGACTCTGGTATCCAATAACAAAAATCCATCATTGTCTTGATGTATTGACAGACAGATAAACAGACAAGAGCTACAGTGTCGCAGCCAAATAGGTGAAAACTAATGCTTACCCGTTTTGGGGGGACACTAATCCGCTTCGACAGCGCTGCTCGACCATCACTGTTCTCCGGACTTGATGGCATGATTCTGAAGAATCAGACTAAAAATCAGTGTAAGTTGAAAATACACGAAAAGTATTTTCATTACTAAGGACAAGTATATATCCAGTTTTTCTATTTTAATACCCCAACAAAAAGCGATTTATTCGTCAGGAAAGCCCAACACAGCATTTCGGTGAGTACCTCAAGAAACATCACCTTGGAGACTTTAAAGCCTCTTCCGACAATATCGAAACAGAATAATATCGAACATTGCCTTGAAAAAAGAAACTGCGGTATAAATCGAAACATGAGATAAGTGAGTTAATTCCGCCAAAGTTCAAGAAGTCATAATCAGCACATCGTCTCTTCGACAAACGACAGTTGTATCACAATAAGTGGTCAGAGCTGTGATTTATTTCGGGTCTCTGATCAAGCCAAATATTTTTACGTATCACTTCGCAGTTCACTTTCAATTAGTTGTTCGAGCTAATAATACAGGAATGCACCCAGCAAGAATAAATACACAAAGAAAAATTAAAATGCACGGCTGTAAAATGAAACAGTTATTACTGTCTGCTTCCTATTTGCATCAAAATATTATGTATTATAATAGTTGTGATATTTATGATATGCAACAATACATCATCAATGTACATGCGCAATGTAACCTAAAATAAAATAAACCAACAAGATTATAACTGGAGAAATCAAATAATCCTACGAACGATACTGTGTCAATTGACATGTTAAACAACAACCACATGATTCAACACCAGTCACTCAGTGACTCAGTCAATCAGTCGGTCGGTCAGTCAAGTAGAGCAAAATAACAACAGCACTAAAAAACAAAATAAGCCATATTACATCATCATTCGGTAATGCTGCTTCATGGCGTTGCTCTCTCTGAGAAAGAGTGCCGAAGCCGGTATGAATGACGTTTTATGGAACTCAATCCGGACAAATGTGTATCTGATGGCTGCGCTGTGTGACAGGCAATGACCAAGGCTAATATTAAAGGAATGGACAGGGTTATTGAATTATGGGACTTTAACGCAATATTCTAAGATGTGCATGAAATATCTGAAAGCTGTGCAACGCATCTTCGGACTGCTGGTAGATAGCACGACAGAGTGATTAATTACACGTAATTGTACTGACGTCTGTTGTGATGATAGTAACAACTACCGGCCGAATCAGCCTTGAAATTCAATGACTATACTGTTATTAAAGCAAAAACTATTAATTTTTTTAAACATCAACTTTTGAATAAATTGACCTGTGCCATACATTATGGTTGCAAAATATTGCATATTCATTAAGGTATCTGCTCATCGCATTTCAAACAACGAAAGGTCGTTCTTACATGGTAGCAATGACATGCTTTTTAATAAAACCCTCTAAAAAAGCACAATGAGGTAACGGACACATCGATCAGCCTGTTACGTTCTTCGTGAATAACTAACAAGTTAACATCTTGAAGAGCAACAACCCAAGATATCGCATCGTTAAAAGTTCTCTACTGCTCAGATTAGAAGTGCTCCTAGGGGTACCAAACTAACCTTGATTTTGCCATCATTCGTCAGCGCAACACTGGTAATGCCGTTCTCGCGCGTCCAATTACGCTAAAGTAGGGTAACTCCGTCGGAAGAAGGCAGGGGTCAGATCCGAAAGATCGCAGCTCTAGCCCGGGTCGCGTAACTAGCCCTTCTTACTACATACGTTGATAAATGAGTACCAATACATTGGAACGAAACATAAGAATATTCACTATGCTTGCCATACAGCTGCTGTCCAGAGCGCCAACAAATAAAACACTCAGAGCTGATGACATGGAAACAAAAATCAGCACCTTATCATTAACCTCAAGAAAAAAATGTCAAAAATGGCTCAATCATAAAAATGTATGCAAGATTGACATTCAAAAAGATACAAATCTACCTGCCTTCTGTTGCTTAAAGTTGAAAACACGACATCTGG